ACATCTATCGAGGGGATTTCTTTCACGAGTCAAAAATGAGCCGCACGTGGAAGAGCAGCTCGTCGCAGCGATCTATGATCTCATATCAAAGTACAAGGTGAGTAAAAGTCTTATTCGAATAAAAATCCTTTGTTAATTGTTTAGGTTGATCTGTACGAGATCGTGATTTTCGTCTCGAAATCCCCGTGTTTCCATCAAGATTGTGATCCGAAATGTGAAGTGATTGATGAGTGTAAAAGTAATAAAGCTTGTGCGAAATTGTTGGGGCTCTTGTTGTCAAAGGTGGGTGAGGAAAAAAAAATAATAAAATCGTAAGAATCGGATGGCTAATTGTAAGCACTAGTCTACTATATAAAAAGCAGTGTTTGTCTGTCTGTACGGGCTTTTTCTCAGCTATCTTTGGGCCAATAAAGCTAAAAATTCTTTAGAAAACCTTCAAATATATTGTAGTTGTGCCATTTAAAACCAAAAATTCAAAACTCAAGGTTGAGTGGCACTACGGGGGTTCGAACCCGGGTTGTGTGAGCTGTAGAGAAGCGTACACCGCTGCGGCAGGCAGCTGGTAAATCGCATAAATTTGATCTGCAAGCCTTTCCGAACTCCGAGCTTGGATAGCTTTAAAGCGTGCCTTGGCTACCGTAATCCAGTTGCTACAATAAACCAATTATTTTCTACCATAGCAGTACCTTTTTACCGTAAAATCAGACTGGGTTACGGTAGCCAAGACATTTTTTAGAAGGCTAATCCGAATCGACGGATTTTGTGCTGGATTTGAGCCAAATTCAGACTAGCCAAGCCAAATCTAACGTTTCAAATCCCCAAATTCTCTTAAAACATAAAAATTTCAATAGAAAATAAGCACTAGATTCAATGGAATTTTTTCTTTTTTTAGGTTCGCAAAGAGTTGAGCAAAGTGGACGTGAAAATGACGGTGAAATTCTTGTATCCGCATTTAAATCGTGGAGATTTATACACGAAACAAGGGATTCTTTGTATGCTACAAGCTGGTATAAAAGTTGGTTAGCTTAAAAGCTTTTTCTTTGTTCAACAAAATTGCAAACAAGTGTAAACATATCTTTTTGGTGCACTGAATAAGCTGATAGCTGCTTAGCTATCAGTTTATTCAGCTTAGCTATCAGCTATAGCTAACAAAGTACAACATCTTTTAGGTGGAACCATTGCTGATGAAAGATTGGTCGGCAATCATGGATTGGTCACCGAACATCGATCATAAAGGGGAATACTTGAAGACGTGGAATGATCACAATTTGGATAAGGTGAATAAAGTGAAAGAGTTGATGAGAAATCTCTTTCAGGCTGTCGCTCAATCCCAATCATTTATCAACGAATGTCGACGAGCACTCGGCTTATCGATGAAATTCTGGGTGGCTGAGATTCACGAAATTGTGAAAAACACAATTCTTCACTATTCGGAGATTCGGGTGAAATGTGGCGAGTTGAATGATGCACTCAAACAGGTAGAGATTGGGTTTTGATATGATTTATAAAGGAAAGATGGTTGATGAATCATAAAAGATAGGACAACTTACTGGTAGGTAAATGTATTAGTTAGATTCGAAATTGTACTTCAGTACTGTAGATCTTTTCTTCACTACTGCAGATATTTCCTGAACTGGTCAAAGGCCAGATCGAAACCTGACTGGATGATAAGCCAGGGTCAATAGGAATGGGTTTTTCGACTGTAACTCGACGCCCAATTATTTAATTCCCTAATTTCATATTTGTATGAAAATACAGGCTAATTTCTGCGATCAATTTCAATTTCTAGTTTAGAAACACAGCGTTACGCTTTTACAGCAGCAGCGTTACGCTAGTACTTCGAAGTTTAGAGCTTCGAGCCAACCATTCGGCAGAATCATTATTTGACAGGATTTGCAAATATTTTGAAGTATTTCCCGCTTTCTATTTACTCATTTTTGATTTTTCTTAAGAAATAGAATATCTGGAGCATCAGAAGGTTTTCAAGAATTTCAGTTGGAGAGCCAATAGTTGAATTCTTTGAAAGCTGAGCAGAACTCTAACTCTCCAAATCATTCTTGATTTGCTGTCTTGCAAAGTTAATGCGTATTTATTTTGTGATATTTCTCTAAATGTGATTAAGGAGTGGAAAAAAGGAAAAAAAAACTAATAGTTGATTGATTTTTGGGCAATTCTTGAGTTGAAAACTATCAAAAACGACGATTCTGCCGAAAGGTTTTGCACCTCTGAACTTCGAAGTACTATAAAAAGCGTAACACTGTGTTTCTAAAATAGAAATTGAAATTGATCGCAGAAATTAACCTGATATTTTCATACAAATATGAAATTAGGGGATTTTGAATAATTGGGCTTCGAGTTACAGTCGAAAAACCCATTCCTATTGACCCTGGCTTATCATCCAGTCAGGTTTAGATCTGGCTTTTGACCAGTTCAGGAAATAGGCCAGATCTGCAGTATTGAAGTACAATTTAATATATGAAATTAGGGGATTTTGAATAATTGAGCGTCGAGTTCCAGTCGAAAAACTGAGTTTCCATATTTCCCGGATTATCAAATTCTCTTTCTCTTTCAAATTTCTCTCTCAAATTTCTCACAATCCAAAAAGCCAAACCGATTCAAGTTTTATACCAAAAAATTCCTTGTATTCTTGGCTAAATGATAGATTAAACAGTTTTTAAAAAAAGTTAATCTTTCATAGATAAAATTAGCGTTTAAAATGTGCTCAGTTAGTGCTCAGTTAGTTAACTGAATATCTTTAGAAATCTATTTTCAGTACTATAAGGTATTCAGTTATATCAGCCAAACCAGCTCCTGCCAGATTCTAATTGAGCCAGTTACTGTAGACTTGCCTCATTCCTGAACTGGCTAGAAGCCATAGATGAGAATAAGTCCTAGTATAAGGCTGCTCAGGTCCTTTAGTCTGACTCATCGTCAGACTAAAAGACGTCAGACTGGAAATTCCCAGGCTTCCAGGCCGAAACCGGATTTTATAAAGTGTTAAATTTCTACAAGATCTTTCCAATCATTCTACTTTGCTCAAAAAAAGTTCGCCACTTTCAGCTGGACTTGACCGCAACTCCGCACAAGATTCGCTCAACTCCCTCGAAGCGTCGTTCATTCATCGATATGCACGAGTTGCGGGATAAACTTCTCATGCGCTCATCCACAGATCATTCGAAGAAGAATGGTTCAAACATGTCAGTGGCAAGGTATCTTTCCAAGCTTTCGCTTTGCTCTTTCACTTTTACCGTATCTTTTGAAAAAAAATCGTTCAAAAGCACCTGATTTTAGCTGTCGTTTTGTGCAGTTTTCTCGTTTTTTCTTTTCCTTCGTGGCTTTCGTTTGCACCTGCAAAAACTTTGGTGATGATTTGTGTGGCATAAAATGAAAGGCAAATATTTTCCCCGTAAAAAAATGAGGATAATGTTCAGGTTTACAGTAAACTTTACTACGATTTTGCTATTCTATGATAGGATATCTTTAAACCAGTGATAAAGGGTGTATTTAAGCTCTATAGTTGCTCAAATCTCGTCTCTGATTACAGTAGACTTGCTTAACGGCTAAAAAAAATCACAGATAATCAGATCTTTCTATTTTTGCACTAATCAATGAGCTGGACAATAGTAAATCAAAAGAAAATGAGTAACAAGATCTTCAGTGACAAGATTAACAATCTTTGAACAATCTAAAAGCTATTCATTCATGGGTACTGTAGTGGACAAGTGATACAAATATCTTTACAGTTTCTTTAAAGATATTCACTGTTGAAGGGATACTGTAATACTTAATAGTAAGTTTCTTACAGTTTAATACCACAATGAAAATGGTATTTAATACCATTTTCATTGAAATTTGCATGGATACAGAAGAAATTCAAATTGCATGTAAGACTGAGAGCAAAAAATGATTTCCAAAAACTTTTAGTGAGGACGCGCACGCTCAAGCGATGGTCGCCTCATTTTGTGGTCGATCATTTGACGATTCGGAGACAAATGAAATTGCACAAAGAATACGACGAGCAACAGCGAATATTAATGTCGAAATTGAGACGCTACTCGAATTTCTCACCCACAAAGGAGCTGTTGCTTAGGATTTGGATATGTTTGTGAGAAAATCGACTCTAATCTTTACTTAATCTTAATCTTCTATAGCAACCATCCCAATGTTGCACTAAACCTTAACAATCTTATAGTAGAGCCCAATCTTTCTCCAAGTCTGTTCTTACCAAATAATGGGTTTTCTAAAAAGCACCTATTTTAGAAAACTACCGTAATCCAACAGCCAGTTTTCGTACAATCAGCCCATTTTGGTATCATTATATGAGAAATCACAAGACTCAATAAATAATACAAAAATTAAGCTAATCGGATGTAAACTGGTGGTTTGAATACTTTTCGAAATAGGTGCCCTTTAGCCGAGAGGAATTGCGATAAAATTTGTTTATGCTCAGAAAGTTGAACATTAAAATTTCTCAACCAGAGTCGATTGTTTCAATCAAATGTACACCTTGGTGTAAATCCCAATTTCCAATAATCCCAACCGTTTGCCCTCGTCTCATCTTTGCCTGCTTGCTAATTAGTGTGGCTAGGCGCCAAAAAGCCTCTCTATTTTCCTAACGATGCCTATTCCTTGCTATCTGTTTATAATGTTTTTCCTTATGATTGCCCATTCAAATCGCTCCCCATTTTTTGCTGTGTTCGTGTGGTCGCCTGATTCTTTAAGAAATGATTTGTTTTCTTGCTTTCTACATCATATTCTAGTCCTAAATTCAAAATTGCATTTGTCTCAAATCACTGCCATGATTCCTAAGTACTGATCTCAACAAAAGAATCTCTATTCAAAAATTAATCTTGTTGTAAATCGAATAAAATTAAATTAATTTACGAGTGATCATTTAAATGATTTATCGGTTAAATGAACTGGAAAAATTTGGTGTTAAATCACTCACAAACACGCGAAGATCAAAAAATCTACACGAATAAGACTTAAATTTTTGCTCATTTTGGCGGCGTTTCAGAAGATTTCACTGACTGTTGTGCCTCGTTGGCATTTTTGGGAGGAAGCGGCTGAAAATTAAAAATGAGTACTTCAACACAAAAATAATCAACGCTTAAAAGCAATTTGGCTAGTATTTTGCTCACAGAAATGTTATCTTCTCTTTAAACTTTACGAAGTAAATGTATAAAAATTAACGTAAAACCTAATGCCCTGGCTTTCCTTTAGCCATCCAAGCATGAATACCATTTCAAGAGTACACTATATCCCATACAAAAAATCCACCTTAACGAGCAACTTGATATCATTGTCAATGGGAAACAATTGAACCCGAGTCTCCTCATGGAATCGAATGCTAAAAAATTATAAAACAATTACAAGAACAATGGTTACTTTTTCGCCTTATTTTTCGAGTCAACAGTTTGGGCCGGTTGGACAGCTTCGGCCTCTTTTCCTTTCTTCGTTCTAAAATGACAAAGTACACATCAATGGCTAAAAGATTAACAAACTTTAGAATCGGTACTGCTTTCTTCTGAGGAGTTTTCGCATCTGTTTCGCGTTTCACCCGCAAAATCTCGCGTACGTCAGCTGGTAGAGGAAGATCTATTGGTGGATCGGGAGCGGCATGCTAAAAATAAGATTCAGTAGAACATTTCTAGATTAAGCTTGGGCAAAAAATTATCGGATTTCAGGTTTAGAAATTGCAAGTTGTTACCTGAATTTTGCTGCGCACGCAATTCTTCATCATATCGCAATTTGGCATCTCACAAATTAATCGAACAAAGCAGCTCTTTGCAGAGTGTTCTTTAAGTAGATCGTGAAGCTGTAAAATAAACTATGAAATAATATAGCCACTAAAAAAACCTGTTGCGTTGTAGTTAGCTTTGTATCTTCAATGGATAAAATGCAATCACCCTGACCGAGTGCGAGTGATGAAGACGAGTCGACTTCAACGCTCCCCACGTAAACCTAAAACAAAGCATATTGAGATTTAAATGGCAGCTTTTAAAAACTCATGGTTTTTGCTGCAGGTTAAAGCACAGGGCTTAAAGTGGGAACTTTGGTGGTTGGCAGGAGTCACTTTTGGCTTGGCCTCGTCGAATCTAGTGTTTTGAGCGGTTCGTGTCGGTACTTTTCTTCTTTTCCGGGTTAATTATAAATGCTGAAGCGACTGGTGCTAATTTTAGAGTTTCCAACATGTTTTAAGTTAGTATTGCAGCTTTCCAAGTGTAATCCGCTTCGAGATAACGATCAGTGGTTAAAGTACAGCAGGCTAGGACACGGCAAACCATCGAATAGGATTATCAAAAACGTGCTTAAAATAGCACCAATCGCTTCAGCATATATCTCTTTCTTCAAAAAAGAAGAAAAGTATCGACACGAACGGCTCAAAACACTAAATTCAACTAAGCAAGCTAAAAGTAGCCCCTGCCAACCACCAAAGTACCGAAAAATTCGTAGACCCACTAACCCTTCCTTCGATATGCACCACGTCAAGATTGGTTGGAATATCACGAAAAAAGTAGAGCACATTGAGAGCATAATCGTATCCCTCTTGCAAAGCAATTCTGTAAACAAAAATTAAAAAGCAAATTAGGAAATTTTTACCCCAAATTTTTGAGTGCCGTAGCGGGCAATCGGAAACGCGTGCAGAGCCGAGCAATCTCTACTTTTACCTGAACAACTTTTAATTTTGATAAAGAAAAAGCTCCAACCCCTTTCACTCCACTCTTTGATATGTTTACAAACGCCATTTTAACATCTTCTGTATGGCCGTTCACCTAAAACAAATAAATTTTCGAATGAAAAGCTTCACAAACCGACATGATCAGATCACCAACTTTCACTTTGCCATGAGAAATCTGTAAAACGTGAATCGATAACCCTGGATTTGTAGAATTTACCGTATCAGGGCGAACTTTTATGACCAGATCCTTGAGAAGTGTGAGGCCAATCTAAAATCAATGAGATTAACAAAAAGAATTTAAAGCACAAACCTTTTCTTGTTTTTCCACATCGATCTCAATTGTAAGCAACTAAAAACAAATTGATATATGTATGAAATGAAAGAAAAATCTCACTTCTATTGCGTTCTTCGGTGGCGAAAATCCGTTGAGATACGATTTGAAACGGTCGATTGGGGACTTCTGGAACAAAAATTAGATGCTACTACACTTGGGGGTGCTTTCCGGTTAACGGGGGGTAAAAGTTTTCGACCATTTTGCAGCCCGATTTTAGATATGTTTTTTGTTGATAACTTTTGATGAAATAAATATTTTCTGAAAGCTAACGTTCTAAGCTATCTAAATCTTATAAAAACTTGCTGATCTGACAGGTTTAAGGTGCTTAAAATCGGGCTGCAAAATGGCCAAAAAAAATTTTACCCCCGTTAGCCGGAAAGATCCCACTTGGGGTAGAGGGAAGTTTATACTAGTGCTTACGCTCATTTTTAAGTTCCTAGGGAAAGTTTTCTAGAAAAAGGGAGTTATTGAAGAGTTCTAGAACAAAAAAAAAACAAAAACAACCAGTGTAACCCTAACAAATCTTACAGCACTAGAATGGTGACTAATTTATCGCAAAATGCCGGGAGTGGGACAAATGCGACCTTTTCTTTTGCGCACCCGGACATTGCGCACCTTTTTTTCCGCAACTTGCCCATTAGCGCACCTTTTTCCGCGTTTTAAAAGCTCTAAAAAGCTAATATCAACCAATTTCTATTCCAAAAGTTGTTTTTCTAGGTAATTTTAGGGAGTAGAATCGAAATTTTGACATATCAGAGCTTGTGGAAACAAATGGACGGAGTTATACAAAGAGAAAAATCGACAATTTTCAATTTTCTGTAATTTGATCTAGCCGTTTTGTCTTTCAAATTGGTTCCACAAGCTCTGATTCAAAATTTTGATTCTACGCCCTAAAATTACCTAGAAAAACAACTTTTGGAATAGAAATTGGTTAATATTAGCTTTTTAGAGCTTTTTTAAAACGCGGAAAAAGGTGCGCTAATGGGCAAGTTGCGGAAAAAAAGGTGCGCAAATGTCCGGGTGCGCAAAAAAAAAAGGTCGGATTTGCCCCACTCCCCGCAAAATGCGATCGCCGTGTATGAATGTATCGGCAGCTATTGATACAAAAATGACCATCGAAAAAGATATTCAGCCTTTACACAAAAAAACCAATACTTAGAAGATACAGCAGTCTTATTACAAAGTTGTAATTCTGTTTTCTAATCCGTGGCTCTTTTTTGTCGGAGATTTGTTCATCTTTCTTTTCCCCCTCCATCACTTTTTTCATCGTCTTTTTTGTTTCAATCTTTTAATTCAAATCCTCTTTTCATCGTCTTTAACCGTTACTTGCCCTTATTAAATGGCTACCGTAATACCTGTAACAGTAGCCTCCGTACAGTCGCGTAGTCTAACACATAATTTTGTGACGCTCGGTTCTCCGCGCTGCTTCGACGAAAAATGCGCGCTTAGCTATCAAAAGATAGCGCTTGCAGCGAAGAATTTTTGGGTACTAACAGTTTATTTTAGAAAAAAAGAATTTTTAGGGCGCGTCCAAAAAAATGATTTACTTTAGTGACTACGTCATTCTGGAGAGGGGGGCGCTACTATTACAGGTATTACGGTACCTTTTGTTTTGTTGATATAGACTACCTTTTATTGTTTTACTGACACCCGCTCACTTATCGTGAAAGATTCGAGCACCCACCGATTGCGCTATGTAATTTGACATTTTGTGTAGTCTTGCTCTTGTCCCATAGTTCTGTCTTTGAACTAAGCATTAGGAAATTAGTTTTATAACATGACCTTTTAAAACACAAAGTTTTTCTGACTTGAAATTTTCTTAATAATTTTTGTATGCTTTAGTGCAATGCGGGGAATTGTCGTATTCATCTCGCACGGGATCGCCTTCGTGTATACGAGCGAGTCGCCGACCGAGCTTTTGCTAGATACGCGCATCATGTGAGTTTTGAAGGTTTTAGCAAATTTATATTGAATCATGCATCAGCCTTTTTAAATTTAATATGTGAGGTACTTACTACGAAGGATAGAATTGTCTTTATAAAGAGAATTTTTGAGTTTTTAGAGGCAACTCAAAGATAGAAACCGGACAATGGCTCGATTGCAATGCCTATAAGACATACGTGGAACGTTTTCGGAAAATCCAACCCAGCCTCAAAACGGAAGTCATTGATGGTAAAGTGCAGGTAAGGTTCTGATTTTTGCATGAAAGAAAATAAGCTAATGGAACTTTTCTGGAAACAGCTCTATTTTTAGGTAGAGACTGTAGTTCGCGTGACCGACACAATGCTGTTCGACTCATCTGATTTTGGAAAAGTTGCTTATCTTGCTCAAAAGCCGATGGAATTAAAATCTGGACAACTTTATCGATGTATGGTGACAAGGTAAATTTAATGAATGTTTTACCTTTACATGAATATTTTAGAGACATCGAAGGATATAGTGAAACTTATGCTAACCTCAGCGTCAAATGGCATATTTTGCCAAACACTCTCTTCCCTGCAAACAAAGATATGCCAAATGTTCAAACGGGTCAAAAGGTTTGTGAATTTTCTTGCTTTTATTAGGGTTATTAAATTTGTTCAGGCCTCAATTTGGGCTGACATGCGAAACGGAAATACTACTGTACAAGATGTCTCTTCTCAGCATCCATGTTTGCCGTTAAACGACTGAGCATTTTTCTGTTTTTTTTCAGTTGCACCAAGCCAAACCTCCGTGCTTTTGGGCGTCGTTATTGGCCAGCGCGGAAGTCGATACATTATTTATACGAGAGCTGGATTTGTTACAATGGTTTGTTTTTAACAAAAGCTAGCTATACTTGTTTTTAGACTGAAAGATGGAAGCGCGAAAATGTTGAGGCGCCTAAGGTTGGCGACTGGATCCAATTTAAATCAAAGTAGGTATTTTATCCTTTGGTTTACATTCTACAATTATCCTCTTGAGTTCCCAATCGCCAATGGACGATTTAGGGAAATCGAGCCAAAGAAACGTGTGGTTGATAGTAACTCGTTTCGCCAAGTGCCGCCACTGTACATCACGACCATTGAAAATGGACAAGTCAACGTAAGCTTTTCAAATTCTTTCAACTTCAATCCACTTTTTAGTTGATTGTGCCGGCTTATGTGAAAAATGGAAATATCTTCACTGAATTTGTAAAGGATACGAATAACAAGGAATTCAAAAATGGACGTCTCCGCGAAGCCAAGGTTCTTGTTTGGCCTGATGATAAGGGACGTTACCGCTGGAAGTTAGCTGAAAAGGTCAGTCTATTAAACTTTTGTTCGATAAGTTTTAAATTATTTTTATTTTTAGCAAAACTACCTGTTGCTTCGGGAAGCAAAGAATGATAAAACTGATTTTACAAAAGACGTGGTGGTGACTTTTGAGCAAAAAATGGAAAACTAAATTCACGTTTTTTGTTGGTTTGAACATATTTACTCTTAATTTCTTGATACTGTTTTGTTATTATGTTGCTAGGGAAGTTATTGTTTGTTAAGATGAATAAATTTATTGGTTATTAATTTTTTGGTCTTCCGTAATCACGCAACATTACTTAGTGGGATCTAGCTTTCATTGAACTGATTGGACGTTTTTTATGGCTCTGCAGATCCAAGTTAAGCCCACTTACCAATGCAAGACTGCCGTTTTACTTGCTCGGTGAGGTTTTATTTGCCAAGAAAAATACTTATTTAAAACTTAAATTATAGTTATAATGTTTTTCTTTAGCAAATCTTTCAATGCGCAGAGAAATACATTTGAAGTATTGAATTTTTATACTTTTATTAAAATACCTTGTTTAGCACTACGTCCACGCTTCGTTTTATGCCACTATAGCGCCACATCATTTTCCAAATGCTTCAGTCAAGAAAGAGGTGGTTTGTATCTGAGAAATAATTCATTGCGCTCTTAGGGTGCATGGTGTCAACTTCTAGATGCATCGCCAACCTTATTTTTCCTCGCCCAATGCAAAGAGGTTTCAGCATATTTTTTTCACACGTACTTCTTTAAGAGACTTGCGAGCCTGCTCGCCAAAGCTCCCCCTGAAGAAAACATCATCGACGTTGTGGGCGATGACTCATTCGAACCTGTCATTGAGACAAGATGTTTGTTTTCAAAGTTTTCTTTCAAATAGCCATATAAAATGTAGCTTTTTAATTCTAGTTATAATGTTTTTCTTTAGCAAATCTTTCAATGCGCAGAGAAATACATTTGAAGTATTGCCAGAATAGAAACTCTCAAGTGAAGCTATTGCAAAAGATTATCTACAGAGTAAATATCTTATTTATTGCTAAATATTGTTTTATAGGACAAAGAAGACGGTTCGACTTTTGAGATAACGTTTCCATTTCTGGATGGTGTTGAAGCATGCGCTGATTTGAAGTTCGTATCGCTTCTCGGTGTAAGAAAGTATTTTAGATGTGGTATTTGTGTGCCAAACTATAATCAGTCGCCAGCTTACATGGATCAACTGGCTGCCGAACATGATGATCAGAAACCAGTTGCTGTGCTTGATATTCATCCAAATTTTGACGAGATGATGCATATGGAAAGTGATGAAAAAATGGATGAGACTTATATCACAACGATGAGAGAAGTAATTTTACATTATGTAGTTACGTAAATCCTCCTTTAATCATTGTGATCATTTGAAAATTTCCAGTTAACGGCACAGAAAGCATATATATGCCCTGTTTGCTCAAAAGTTTTGAAGAGCAAATACTCCTACAAAGCCCATGTTTTGAAACAACATGAGAACAAAGATGCGCCATACCATTTTACGTTTACAGAAGTTGGTTTTTTTAATTACATGAAGGGTTTTGGTTTTAGCAAAAAAGAGGCCGTCCAGCCAACAAGTCTCAAGACCACGAAGCGCTGACTAAAACGACAAAGAGAAAATACACGAAAAGTGTTAGAAACGATGAGGAGCCAACGCTTTATCCTAGAGTTTGTTTTATAGTTGGATATTATGAGTTTGAACTATTGTTTATTCAAAATCTTTAGAAGTACTCCATCGTTCAGCCAGAGGCAATGTTCCCAATATCGATTGGAACGAAATACCGAACTGCGAGAAATGTCAATGGATAACCAGGAGTCCATTTTCCACATGATTAATCGTTTTCAAAATTGAATTAGAAATACGCTGTATAAAAGAATTTTTGTTGTTATTCATTTTTGCATTATGTTACGTTACACAGTTTATCTTTAATAAACTTTTTTGTCGAATTGGCTAAACCACAAAGATTGAGGTAGAGTGAAGGGGAATGATGAGAAAAAGAGGCGGGAATCTTTGCCTATCGTAAAAGAAAGGTGCGCGGCCGATTTGAATCTTGATTTTATGCCACACAAGTGTGGTTGAATTATAAGAAACTTCAATTTTGAAGAGAAATACCATTTTTTAAAAAAAAACCACTTTAAAAATTGAAACTCACCGACGGACCAACCATTGAGCGACCAAGAAAAATGAAAATGGCACAATGGCCTAAAGAGAAAATTTTTGTATCAATTTTGATGTAAATATACTACGTATTCAAACATCAAAGTTAGTGCAATAGAAACCGCCGTTTTCTTTTTCTGACCGTAATCCTTTCCTATTCTGCACTAACGGTGCAAAAAAAATTTGCGAGTTGAAGAAATCATTTTCATTTTGTACATTCACGAGTATGCTTACTTTTTTTTCTTTTTCCTTTGCTTTTGCGGTACTTTTCCAGTATCCGGGGTGACATTTTTTGAGTTTATTTATATAAAATTGACCCTAGGCTAAATTGTACGCTCTTTTTCTGCTGGATTGCAATAGTCTAAACTTGCTAAACTTCTTTGAAACTAGTAGAATCACTACAATCCCAAAAGCCCCATTCCCGATAATGATTTACCATATTCGATACTGGGAAAGTGCAGCTTTTGCTTTTGATAACCACTTTTCAATTATTTTTAGAATGTACGGACCGAGGCCTCAATCTTTCGATTTGGAGGATGGCGGGGAAAGGTAAAGTTTTGTCAGCTATTAGCTTTGTTATGCAATCCAAACGGTTTAATATCCGTTGGTTTAGGTATTATATTGGATTTGAAATTGGCCACTACTTGAAACTTGCGCGTGGCACTTTCTACAAGAAGTATCCCCTTCTATGGAAACGAGTGGCGACAATGGAGGAGAAAGGGCGAATCAAAAGCATCAATGCGTCACCCGCCTTTCTTGCTGCAAATATCATGTAAGTTGACTTGAGTTGAGTTAGCTTGACTTACCTCTTACTTTTCAGGCTTGTCAGACAAACGGAGATAGACGAAGTGTTAGCGGGGAAAGACGAAAAGTACAAGGTAAGGTTGCTTTAAACAAACTTAAAACTTAATAAACTTAATAAACTTAATAATAAAGGGAATCGGTGGACAATCGACACCGCGCGCAGAAGGAGAGTTCACCTCGTCGAAGCCGAATCCGCCAAAGACTCCAGTAATCAGTGGATTAATTGGGCGAAATGTATGGTTCGTGTTTAAATATAAGTTTAGTTTTTATTTTAGGTAGTATCTGGCTCACATCACCTAGAGGCTGTGCCCGCATCTCATCCATCAGCATACGGACGCGGAAAGTGCAAACAAATCGAAACAATATATTCCACGGATGATTTGGGACAAGTTGGATCTGTAGTTCTATAAGGAGATATAATTTTATTTAGGCTCAAAGATTGATGGAGAATGCCGAGCAACTGGAAGTTTTGATGCCGATTCGATTGGATATGGAAATCGACGGGATCAAGTTGAGAGACACCTTTTGCTACAATAGAAGCGAACAACTCATCACTCCGAATCTTGTAAGTTTACAAAAATGCATAACATTTAGTTTATGGCATATAATATTTTCTTTTTTAGGTGGCCGAGCGGCTATGTACGGACCTCGGCTTACCACTCGCTTCTTTTTCAATCAGCCATTTCTGCTGCCATTTTTCAACAAAGTGAAGCAGCGGAAGAGATGCAGGTTTTGGCTTAGTACCTTTTCAACAATCCAATTGTTTAGCAAGGTCCATCAGAAGTCACCGACCAACGAACAATTCTTAAGTTGAACATCAACGTCGGCAATCAGATTTTGATCGATCAGTTTGAGTAGGTTAACGCTTACAAAATTACAGCGTTTTTCTTTTAGATGGGACCTGAGCGACCCAAGCAACAATCCTGAGGATTTCGCGGAGAATCTCTGCGCCGAGTTGGGTCTTGGGGGTGAATTTCGATCTGCCATCTCATACTCTATTCGGTTTGTTTATGATATCGTAATCTTTAAATCTTTGCTACTCAGATTAGCTGTGGTTGAAATATCTAAAAGCATAATGGCTTATTTTCTTTAGTGGTCAATTAAATTGGCATCAAAAAACACACTCCTTCTTTGAATCGCCACTTCCCGCTGTTTATTGTCCATTCAGGTAAAATTTTGGGAAATGATAAAAATTAACGTCAAATGAATCTAGCTTACAAGGAAAGGTCACCGACTCAAAGTGGCCTTTTGCAACGAGACCATGTCCATCCGATGGAATCGGCTATGGGGATCTCGAATCCGATTTCCGTTTTTGCAAAACGCTTTGCAATCGCGAGACATCTGGCATAGAAAATTACCCTAAATTTTGGACTCCTTATGAGGGCACCACACGGAATCCAAACAACTGCCTCGGTGGCCTAGTGGCTTAGTGTGAGTGACTATGTCCTTTCTTGGCCTAAGTTCGAATCCCTCTCTCGCCAAACTTTTTGCTTTTTCAAAATATTTTTTCGACTTGTTTTGCAATCAATAGTCGGATTAGGCTTCATACACTACTTCCTGAAACTTTGAAAAAGTTTCAAAATAAAAACAAGTACATAGTGCGAGTGACCCTATGGTTATCTAGATTCTTCGATAGTATCAAAACCAATGCTGTAAAATTTTTGCCATAACGCTTAACTCGGCTCTTCATTGCAAACAAAACAAACCGGAAAAGAGATTTGAAAAAAACAAAGGCGATTCTATAAGATGGACATGGTGTCGTTGCAAAAGATCACTTTGAGCCGGTAACCTTCCCTTGTAAAAAGTAACCTAAACGGTTGAAGAAAATTTTAATTGTGTGGCTGTTTTAGAAATCCATCCGACTGTGAGCAATGGGGACCTTGCCTGGAGACGCTAACCGATGCGGAAATCGATAAAATGATGCGAGATCAGGATAGAAATACGCGAAGAATGAGAAGACTTGTCGGGAGCCATAATCCTTTTTAAGTTTTTGTTCTTACGGTCTTCATTTCATATCCTACCATGTTTTCTATTTTTCTCTAGCAATTTTATTGATTTTATTCCTTGTGGTGAGATCTCCTACTTTGTGTCTTTTGAAATATTGTATTCTAATAAAGGTAACTAATTTAGTATGCTTTTTGACGTCTACGAGCATTGAATTGCTGTGAGTCATTTTTCAGATGTTCAATCAAATTTAATATTCTTGGCATTTGTGATTTGTAAAGCTTACGGGGACAGGGTGTGACGTTGTTGCTCTTAACAAGCACGTTCTCAGCAGAAGATTAATTAAGATATACGTTATTAGCTATTGAAATAGCTTTAACATTTTTTTCTTTTTCGTTTGTTCAACCACATATGTACCTACATACTTGTTTAGAATGCCTACAACTCGGGGCCAATCGATGTGTCCATCATCGTCGAAACATGGGTTTTCTAGCATAAGAGTATATTTTAGCAATTGCTTTGTGTAAAGGAAGTTTTGCTCTCTATTAAAAACTGATCTTTTTAGGTGGAAGGCGACGATGAAGATCAATGGCAAAGTATCGAGGAATTGCAGGCTTGTTTTCTAGGCTAGGCAGCAATTATTGCTATTGTCTATTATGTTGGCTAAATAACCAAACCATGCTAAAGTTTCATTTTAGGCTTTGGTCGAAAAATACGAACAGAAGGTCGACAATCTGCGCCAAGCTACTATCAATGATGAGGCGGCTTTGCAAAAACGTTTGGTCAGTGTGTTTATCATTAGTCATTATACTGTTGCTTTAGCAAAGAAATTCGTCTTGAGGCATCCAAGTTTGCCGCAATTATTGCAAAACGTGATACTGCTGAAAAGGACGACGAGACGAGTTTCTTAAAGCATACTGCAAAAGTTTGATTTCACAAAAGATTTTCTGTGTATAGTTTGTTTCTTGTTAGAAGACTTGCCTCGATTTTCTGCGCACCGACAAGCACATTGAAAGGAACAATCCAACATCTTTGGCACGAAAAATAGTTGTAGAGCTGATTGATTTAGGTAAGAGGATTTGAATTTTTTTAAAATTGTCTTTGTTTAGTCGCTAGTTTCGCATGTAACGCAGAAAAACTCCCTAAAGACATCGATGATGTAGTATTCCAAGCGTTCGAACTTCGTCTAAAGGGTATTTGATATTTGATAAATTATTATATTGAAAAAGTTTCTAGACTTTGGCAAGTCATTGAACATTCAAACTAGGGAAACGATTGGAGGACATTGGATTTGATGCAGGTTTACGCTAAATGTTTGATAATCAGGTTTTACCTCACAATTAGATGTCATCGAAGGCTTACTGGTGCAAATGGCGAAAACAAGTGGCGTTAAGATTGATGGAGCCAGGGTAAGCTTATTTTGATTTTACTAAAAGGAAAAAAATGAAACTTGAAATTTGGAGTTTAACTGAAGATTTTTAGGCAGAAATACGTCATGCAGCAGGAAAGTGGCAAAGTGAATTAACGACAGGAGATTTGCCAGAAATCGACGACATGCTTTCAAATGATGAAGCTGCGATGGAAAATGATGTGCAACTAGATACCGAAGACGATGAAATATGGATGATGTCAGATGACGATGATGATGAATTTTCGATGGACGAAGACGAGATGGAAAAACTTGATTAGGGTATTGAATCAATTATTTTCATGTTTTATTTTACGGGTTTGTTGTTGTCAATTTTTGTTTTTTTTTTTGAAAATGTTACTGTTACCTTCTAGTTGTTGAATCTGTTTTTAAATGCTGAATAAATTTGCTAACTTTAGTCATCTAAACCAAAAATGGAAAAATTTGGCTAGAATACATTTCAGATGGTACTTTGAAATGTTTTATTTTAACCGTTTAGTGCAAAGATATGAATGAAATATAGAAAATCTACCAGTAACTGAATGAAATGATAAAGTAAATTTAATCGAAACGAGATCTAATGGACTAAGCCAATTAAAGCAATCTAAATTTGGAATAAAAAAAAATGTTGAAAGATGAAGTTTCTCTAGCAAAAATCCTAGATAAACTGATATAAAAAGATCCCGATTTGGACATGAGCATCAAAAAAGAAAAAACACCGGGAAAAAGGGTGAATAAATAAAACCCGATAAAGATTGAGATGATGATTAACTTATGGAATAATAAATAGAATGAATTTGGATCGAGACTTGCTTATCGATAAAGTTAACTCGAAATTTAAAAAGTGCTTTTGGAAATGCTCGAGAGTGACACTAATTGATGACGTGGTGCTACTGTAATGAGACTATTGCGTTTTTTTAAAACGACCCTAATCTCATCTCTAGTTTTACGACAAAATTTTCGATAAGCAAGTTCAAAACGGATCGAACAATTTAAACCAAGAGGGTTTAAGGTGAAGTTGAAGGAGACGCGCACTGCCGGTTGGGGGTGGAGGCCATTGAGGAGATGAAAGAATTTGATGCGTTCTTTTTAACGTCAACCTTTCCAGCTGAAAATTGATTTGGGTTAGCTGGGGAGTTTTGTAAAATCATTTTTGTAAAGTTTTAAAAGTCGTTGTTCACTATCGGTGTTCGATAAGCTCACAAGAGGGAATGGTTCAAAGTTATGGTGACCGTTTGGGATGAGTGATGCCTCAGTTGATAGATCTCATGATGAATTAATGATGAACAAAAAAGTTAGCTGCCTCAAACGAGAAATGGGACCAACGAGATGCAAAAATAATGTTTTTGACCCTCCTTGACGCGGCTGGAACTTTTTACTGAATCAATATTTTTGAATAATCTTTTTTTGCATGTGACAGGACTTGAATGAAACTAAAAAAACTTTGGCTTTGGCTTTGGCTTTTCAATAAACTTTGACTAAAATCAATAGCTTTGAAATGTAAAATTTTATAAATACTTTCGGAATCAAATTTCACTATTTTTAGTTTCATTCGAGTTCTATTACATGCAAAAAAAGATTATTCAAAAATATTGATTCAGTAAAAAGTTCCAGCCGCTTCAAGGACGGTCAAAAACATCATTTTTCCTCCTTGTCGGTCCCATTTCTCGTTTGAGGCAGCTAATTTTTTTGGTCATCATTCATTCATCATGAGATCTATCGAATGAGGCATCACTCATCCCAAATGGTCACCTTAACTTTAGACCATTCCCTTGTCAGATTTATTGGGTTGGTAAATTGAAAACTGCGGGACTTTGAACTAAAATTTATTCAACATAAAACCATCAATTCATTCCAAATAATTTCCATTATTATTGATGACTTCTGCCCATTTTATAGGCAATTAGCGGATTCCTCTTTCGTAGTAGGATTTTGGTTTGTGTGTGAGACAAGTGTGAGACTCGAAAATGGAGAACTGGAGATGTCAGCTGTCAGCCCAGTTTGAGCACTTTCTTCAAAAGAAACCCACTTTGGTGTCAATGGAAAAGTTGTAGAGAATCAAAAATTAGGCTTATAGCCAAATTTCCAAAAAGAAACACTTAGTAGTTTCGCTTAAAATGCAAGTTTTGTGAAAATTCGTAAATTTGGCATTTCTTGAAAACCAGTTTTTTGAATCGTTCTGAAAATTTGGATATAAGCTTGATTTTTGATTCTCTACAACTTTTCCATTGACACCAAAATGGGTTTCTTTTGAAGAAAGTGCTCAAACTGTCACTTATGACAATGGCCCGCAGTTTTCAATTCACCAACCCAATAGTTTGATAGGAAATCTTTCAATTTCTTCCCTTACCAGCCAATCTGCTTGTGAAAGTGACGCTTTCTCTAGAGTATCTTCAGTTTTTCGCATTTCTTTTTCCTCGACAAGGGTTTCCTCGTATTTACAAAGATGAACTGGAGACGCCTGAAAATTTGTGATTATTTCAATTATAATAATCTGAGATTACGATAGTTTGAAAAAAACTTACAGTAAGACAACAATGCTCATCGGGTTTCGAGTCAATGGGAGTGGTGTGAAGCCATGGGTAAGCTGGATACAATTTCACATCCGCATCAGGAGGCGGATCACTTTTGAGAGCGTGCAAGTATTTCAAGAGTTCTTCATCATTCCCTCTGGAATCGTGGCCTTTACTATATCATACATGTTTTCCCGTGCTCTAGCACTGGGCCTAGACTTGGTTTAGTGCTATCAGCCTAAAGTGAGCCCAAGAGACATACGTGTTTTGCGTTCCGAAAAGGTTTTCCCCATTTTCACTGGCTAAATCCTGGCACAGGTAAGTCTAAATGCTAGCTAGGGTTGTGCTAAATGGTAAGCCAGGTCAGACCAAAGCCAGGCCAGGCCAAAGCCAGGTCAGACCAAAGCCAGGCCAGACCAAAGCTAGGTCAGACCAAAGCCCGGACAGAAGCCAGCCAGCCTAGGGAACTAGGTCATTGTGGGATTTTGGAACGAGCTCATTCGATAGGAAATTGAATATAGATTCCGAATCTGTAATCAAAATCTGCGGAATAGCTCGCAAAGACTTTTAAATCAAAAGTTTTTGCTTTACAACCCTGAGTCGAGTTTATGTGCTCTCTCTCAGCCGGGCTCTCAGCGGCATGGTGTAGTGGTTGGCGTGATGGTTCACAGAACGAATGCGAGGGTTTTTCTGGCAGGTTCGAATCCACACTAACCAAACATCTTTTATTTTTCACAATTATGTTTTTGATGCTCACAATAAGGTTCTGGCCATTTCAAAAGGCTGGATATTGCACAATGTGCAGGCTTTCGGCTTCTGAATGGGGATTGAAGGCTTGGCCTCCTAATTGGGACTTGATTGACTTGGCTCCTGAATGGGTGACGGCCTCCATTGGGACTGGTTGACTTGGCTCCTGAATGGGTATTAGCTTGGCCTCCTAATTGGGACTTGATTGACTTGGCTCCTGAATGGGGATTAGCTTGGCCTCCTAATTGGGACTTGATTGACTTGGCTCCTGAATGGGGATTAGCTTGGCCTCCTAATTCTGGCCTTTAGAAAGGGCAAATTATTGAACTTATCAGTAGAAAGATTACTGTAGCTCTAGCAAATTATAAACTAAATATTATTTAGTACTAAATATGATTTAGTAGACCTAGTGTATTGAAATCTTTCCACACTTTTTTCCTTTTCAAAACTCACTTCAATCGTTTTGGTATTTGGATGAAGAGGGGAGGTCGAATCGAAAGATCGCCGAGAAGAACTGTCGTTGTCACTACAAGAGACAAATCATGTACAAACTTCTGGCCACAGTCACTGAAACAGACGGTGACTGTCTCCCAAAAGAGGAGTCTCAAAGTCTCTCCCAAAAGAGTCGGCATTGAAAAGTCGAAAAGAAAAAAAGCGGCAGAAAAGCGGAATATGTAGCTAATCAAAGAGAGAAAACCCTCACATATTATCAAAGATATCCGGTTGATATCCAAAGCGTCCCTCGAAAGCCACTTCATAGCAACGATAAAGGAGTTTATCGTTGAGCAATCGTTTCTGCTGTTCTGATTGATTTCCTTTCTTTGAGGGGAAACTCTGGAAATGTTAAATGAGGGAAAAATAAGGCTGTATTCTTACCGTTCTATTTCCACTTTTGATTGAGTCAAAAACTTCTTTGGGTAAAGCATTCAATAGAGGTTTTGCTTGAGGCATTTTCTCGAGATACGAGAGAACTCTTGTGCTGATTAAACTGAAAAGAGTTTCGTTTGGAACTTCCTTATCTTCCTTGTCTTTCCTATTTCTCCTTGGGCGCATCAGGTGCTTATGGCTCAGTGGTAAAGCATCAAGCTGGTAAGCAGAAGGGTTCGATTCCCTTTAGCTCCACTTTTTTTTGCCATTTATTTCTTTACTATTCTATAGTAGCACTGGAAAGTTAGTGTTTTGCTGCCTGTAGGCCTGTGGCTGCCTGTCTACAGTAATCTTTCTAAAGCAAGCTTAATAGCAGAATGTTACAGTAGTTACAGTAGTTACAGTAGCTACAGTAGATTGAAAAGCTCACTTTAAAATCTGTCTAGTGTTACCGTACTCTTTGTATTTAATTACAGTAGTCTAAGTAGCTAAGTCTAAGTGATTTCTAATCTGTTAGAAGTATTTGTCTTTCTAGTTATAGTAATCTGTCAGAAATAGAGTCGACTTTCTAGTTACAATCTAGTTACAGTAATCACTCACTCTTCCCAATATCCGAGCTTTCCTGTAGCGACAATTCCCTGTGCCACATTCTTACACCATTTCTCTTTCTTTTCCTTGGCCTCATATCTAAATAAAATTCGATAAGTTTAGCTACATATAAATATCATATTTGAAAAAAACTCTTTCGCACTTTCGCGCGTCTGTAACTCCCTTGTCTTTACAGTATTTCTAAATACTAATATTACCATTGTGTAGCCCTTGAAAAGAGCTTTCAGAAAATGTATAACACTAATAGTTTAAACTCAAAGACAAGGGAGTTACAGACGCGCGAAAGTGACGATCGTTTTTCAAATATCATATTTGTCATTGTCCAGTACTGTATCATTTGAGCCAAATTTGCGCTTTTCAACACTTCACACCACCGCTACCACCTCGAATTAATCATTCAAGTTTGTCTAATGTCATTTTTCTGCGTTCAGGTGGTTTATGTTACAAGTGTTCGCATTTGTAAAAAAAACCTTCAAAATCTGGCATTCAGGGCTGATTGCTTTTAATACTAGCGATATGCTTAAAAGATCCGGCATTCGTCTCGGGACGTCAATTTGATACCGGAAGCGGTCATCGAAATACACTACTGGGCGCCGAAAAATGTATACATAGAAATGTAAACATTAGATACGTTACGCTCCTAAAGAAGCGCTTCTATTCCCGTATTTCTAAATGTTACGATTACCAGGAAGCCCCCAATAGCTTTCAATTGACGACTTAATTTCAAGTGACGCGTTTTCAAATATCATATTTCATTGTACCAGTCGTGTAAGATTAGCCACCGTCAAATGCCGTCAATACGCAAAAAAGGAATTCAGTCACCAGTAGTTAGCTAAAAAAACGCGTTTTTCTCGACACTGGTTTATGCTACAATGCGCGCTTAGGTGTCAAAAAATAGCCCTGAATTTCAGCTATTTTTTGATACCAAAGACACATTTTTCGAAAGTACGAGTGCTTTGGAAAAAAAATGAAATACTAAAATGCTTTTACGACTACGCGACTGTACGAGGGCGGTGGGGTACTATTAGAGTATTTACGGTAATTAGTTTATGTGTCACATTCACTTTGTCAAATCTATTTTCGTCAAAATATTTCATTCCACATTCAAACAAAAGTTATTTTAGAAACAAAAACGTGAAAGATGTAATAGAGAACATGTATATTTGTTTCTAAAATTGCTTTGTTTCTAAAATAACTTTTGTTTGAGTGTCGAATTAAATAGTTTGACGAAAATAGATTTGACAAAGTGAACATTTGGAATTAAATAGGATTTTGACATAAATAGTCATAAATATACATGAGAAAATGTCCACTTTTGGTAAAAAAATGATTCTTCACAAATGGCTTTTGATTTCGATAAGCATTCTTTTCGGACAAAACATCGGCGTGGCATCTTCTCACGAGCAGCTCCTCCAGTCAGAAAAATACAAGTTACCCGGCGGGGTTTGTCATGTCGGAGAGGTAAGTTCAATAACGAGTTTGGATTTGGTTCCTTATCTCTCTAAATTTGGTTCCTTATCTCTCTAAATTCCTTATCAATAACGAGATCAGTTCTGTGAGAATCAAAGCGGAGTTAAGTAAACGCCATTCAACCCAACAATAAGCCGAGGCAACAAGTACAGCGATCAGGACGATCTCTTTGACATCAGGACGATCTCTTTGACATCAGGACGATCTCTTTGACATCAGGACGATCTCTTTGACATCAGGACGATCTCTTTGACATCAGGACGATCTCTTTGACATCAGGACGATCTCTCTGACATCAGGACGATCTCTTTGACATCAGGACGATCTCTCTGACATCAGGACGATCTCTTTGACATCAGGACGATCTCTCTGACATCAGGACGATCTCTTTGACATCAGGACGATCTCTCTGACATCAGGACGATCTCTTTGACATCAGGACGATCTCTCTGACATCAGGACGATCTCTTTGACATCAGGACGATCTCTCTGACATCAGGACGATCTCCCTGACATCAGGACGATCTCTTTGACATCAGGACGATCTCTTTGACAAATACAGTTCGCGTCATGGTTCACCAGATTTAGTGAACCCTTGGACAGTCGTATGTTGTTCATAATTTGTTGTTCGAGCAATGTTGTTCTTAATTTTGTCAAAATTGACGAGTTTTGTTGCTTCGCAAGGCAGAAACTAAAAATTGATATATTCGTTTGATCTTTTTAGATTATTTGGCTCAAAAGAGCTAAATTGTTGTTGCCCAAGAGTTGCCTGAGAAAACCAAATGAAGACAAACGTTGTTGGGTTGAATCGCGTTTACGCGTTAGATAAGGAACCAAATTTAGAGAGATAAGGAACCAAATTTAGGGAAAAGGAGCTTTCTTTTCTAAAAGATAATTTTAAAATCTAGCGGACAAATTCATTTAAATTGCAATGAACTAGTTTTGGGCGCACAAAAGCAATGGGTCATGCGCACTGATTAATTCAGACACTATTTTAGAGAGATAAGCAACCACACTAATTTATAGAGATAAAGAACCAAATTTATAAAAATAAAAAAACAAAATTTAAAAAAAAAAAAAAAAAAAATTAGAGATAAGGAACCAAATTTAAAAAAACAATTTTTTAAAATCCAAACCCCGCCGGGTAACTTGCATTTTTCTGACTGGAAGAGCTGCTCGTGAAAAGATGACACGCCGATGTTTTGTCCGAAAAGAATGCTTATCGAAATCAAAAGCCATTTGTGAAGAATCATTTTTTACCAAAGTGGATACTACATTTATATGTAAACTTGCAATTTCTATGCAAAAAAAAACAGCTTATGCTAATTTCTTGAAAGCCAAAGCCTGAGTCGACTTGGGTAATTGAACCAGCCCAAAAACCATCATTTGACTACAGGAAACAGTACTACTTTAAAGCTACATGGCTTACAGTACTACAGGATTACTGTAGAATTGAATACCTTATATGAAAAGCGGTGTCAAACGGACGAATCTCTCGATAAGGCACTAGACTGTACAAGTATTGACCGTGTTCCGATAGCCAAGCGCAAACAACCTAAATAAAACAATAGAGATCAAATAATAGTTGTAGAATTACTGTAGGTTACTGTAGGTTACTGTAGGTTACTGTAGGACTGTAGAACTGTAGACTACTATAGGACTGTAGGACTGTAGACTACTGTAGGACTGTAGACTACTGTAGGACTGTAGGACTGTAGACTACTGTAGGACTGTAGACTACTGTAGGACTGTAGACTACTGTAGGACTGTAGACTACTGTAGGACTCTAAGTGCAACTCACATTATCGTGTCCCTGCACTGTTTTCGTTTGTGACAACAGCGTTTTACTGTGCCCATCTCGATCAACGTCGAGTAACTAAAAGTTTCTTTTTTCTTAGCTGATTATCTGAAAGTTAGTCTTCTATTTTAACTATTATACTTGAAAGTTGAAGATATACGCTGCCCAGTATTCCTTTTTGCCTTTTCGTGGCCATGGAGCCCAAACGACATCACCCAAACGGAGATTGAAAGGATTCCGCTCGGCTGGCATTTCGCCGCGCCAGAACTGAAATTCGGGACTTGCTTTTGAGTGTCTGTGATTCATTTATTGTAACTTTTAAAACCCTAGATTATGCAGTACTGTTGTACTTGTTTTTATAGCATAAACTAGCGCAGCTAGCAAAATAACTAGCACAGCAGTCGAGTCACGGTCTAAATTGAAGCGGATCTAGATATTGTGGCTTGTAGATAACATTTACAGATATAGTAGTTCGTAATTCGTAATTCGTAAGTTCGTAAGGGTAGCGCGCAATATTCTATTTTTAATTCTATCTTTGTTAATCAACTCACATTCACATTATTGATTCCCAATCGCACTGCCACACCAGATGGGAGGAATACGAATGGATGCTCTTCCTCTTGAAGTAATAGAGAGAATTCGGGGCGCTGAATGGAGAAACGATTAGTTAAAGAGTAGATTAAAAAGTATTACAGGAAAGAATTTGGTACTTGTAATTGGTACTTGTAATTGGTACTTGTAAATCTGTGTCTTTACATGGATTCTATCTATTCAGTAAAATCTAATCTTGCCAAAAAGCCTAGCAAATGAATTCATTTATCTAGCTACCGTAAATACTGTACCGTAAATACTCGTATAGTACCCCACCACCCTCGTACAGTCGCGTAGTCGCAAAAGTTTTTTTAGTATTTCATTTCCAAAGCACCCGTACTTTCAAAAATACGTTCTTTGATATCAAAGAATAGCCCTGAATTTCAGCTATTTTTTGATACCTAAGCGCGCATTGTAGCATAAACCAGTCGAGAGAAAAACGCGTTCAAAGCTAGACTACGCAAAACTCCGCAACTCATTATGGGGCTGGGGTACTATTACAGTAGATATATACCGTATTTTCTGTAATAATAGTGTGCACTACTATTTCTACAACGCCTTCAACCTGCGCTTCTATTATAGACTGCACTACTATTACAGAAAATCCGAAAGTTCTTGAATGGGCCTATTTTTGTCTTTATCCCAGATTAAAGTAAGACCTAGAAGTACTAAATTTAGCTTTTTGTATGTAAATTGAGTCTCAGCATCTCAGCATCAACATCAGCATTTCCAAGCCACTTTTCCGCTAAAATTTTATCTTATCTGCACCTTGGAAACTATCTACTATATATAAAGGGATTAAGACGTCTGTTTGTCCGTCTGTCTTTCTGTGCGCGCTACTCCTCAGCCCCCAGAGGACCATTTGCAATGATTTTTGTGCCGTTGAATAGGGAATTACATGTAGTTGTGCAGCGTGCTTTTGGATTTTTTAAAAAGCATAATTCGAGCCGCATGGGGAGGTCGAACCCCGATTGTATGGGCGATAAATCGTCGCGCTATCCACTGCTCCACGGCGACAAAAGCCGCCAATCCCTAAAAAATCGAGAAAAACATCGAGAATGGGTTTCTCGGCTGGTTCTTCTTTAAAGAATGGCAAAGTAAGATTTCTAGAGAGGGGATTGAACTATCGACCTTTTGCTTTTGTTGTGATACTCTAACCATTGAGCTATCCTATATCTTCTTTCAAGAGAAGAGAGGAAGGGGAAGAGAAAGGAAGAAAGGAAGAAAGAAAGGAAGGAAGAAAGGAAGGAAGAGTTCTTGACTTAAAGGAACCTCTATTCCAGATTAAATCTATTCCAATCTATTAAAGGAACCTCTATTCCAGATCCAGAAATACCAAATCTCAGAAATAGTGCTCAACTCACTGATTTCTCTGGCGTCAATCTCGGGAAATTCTTCGGGTTCTTGAAATTCTCAATATTCGGATCTTTCAACGACTCGTAGAATGGAAAAGCATCTTGATAACTGGAATTTATTGGAATATCGATTGAATTAAGAATTGGATTAATGTAAAGATCAAAAATCAAACCTGCAACTCGGTTGGAAATCCACAGGAAAATGCACAGCATAAGGGAAAATCTTGAGAAGGATCGGCTCGGAGGAGGCTCGTGGATCAATCGTCATCTCTGTATTGTAATGAATCTCTGAGCAGAAATCATTCAACAATTCAATATCTTTCTCCGTCGGTTTATATAATTCACGAAATACTTTCTCCATTTTTATTTGCTCAATCTGATCAAGAGAGATTCCATCTATCAAAAAACGATCAGTTTTTACGGTTTTTGATTTCTTTATTGATGAGATTTTCGTTGGTGAATTGATGGAAGTGATTGATCTCTTGGTTGGTCGAATTCTTGGAGATTTCTCTTCATCATCAAATTGATATGGAGATAATGATGTCAACTTCTCGATTTTCTTCGCTGTTCTCGGAGATACCTCTTTCTCTTCCTTTTCTTCCTCTTCCTCTTCCTCTTCCTCTTCCTTTTCTTCCTTTTCTTCCTTTTCTTCCTTTCCATCCTTTTCTTCTTTCTCTTCCTTTTCTTTAGAAGATTTTAAAATTGTTGGAGTCATTTTCTTGTCCGGAGAATATTCCTTTAAAGCTTTTCGATTCAATCTCAGCACGATTTTTGGTCTCAATTCATTTGATGATACTCCGGGATCGCTGATTTGACGCTGGAAATCGAATTTCTCCTTTTGTTTCTCTTTTTTTCGTTTTATTAGAGTTTTCTGAACATTTTCCTCAATTGGTTCCTCTTTGATTTTTGGTTCTTCGCTTTGATGGCGACGATTTGTGTTCTGAAAAAAAGGATTTTTTAAAAAATACCGACTGGGGCTACCAGTGGTGAATTTATCGCATACACGAAATATATCAATCACAATACAACGACACACACAATACTAGGCTATAGCTTAACTTAACCCACGTCATGACAGACGGCTCCCTAACCCTAAGCTCAATGGGGAACTAAATAGCTTTTTTGGTGGTGAAGGGAAGATGACGATGAAGGATTTGGTTAAATAGAAAGACTATTTGCTTAGCTATAACATTTCTGGCATTCGAATGAAAGCCAATTATGTAAAAAGCTCAATTGAAAAGATTAATCCTGAGAATGAGAATCAGTGTTTGTTATTTAGAGAATTCAGAGCTGATCTTTGATTTCATTAGCCTTCATTAGCATAAAGCCTGAAACCTTTTCTATATAAAGTAGATCAAAATAAGCACTTAGCTCCCTCTGAAGGAACGGAAATGAGGTGCGTTGTGGCGTAATGGTTAGCACAGTTGCTAACCATTACACAGTTGCTAACCATTACACAGTTGCTAACCATTACACAGTTGCTAACCATTACACAGTTGCTAACCATTACACCGTGAGCGAGGGGTCGCAGGTTCGAATCCTGGCGGAGCACAAATTTTTGATCTGTCCTAGTTCCAACTAAGCCGTAGATCAATTGGTTTATTCTTTATTTTAAAAAAGCGGAAAGGCTTTCTAGCCAACGTGAATTCTAGCCAAAGGCTCTCTAACAAACACACCTTTTCTGACACACTGAATTTGTATTTGAAAAGATAGAGTGAGAAATTGTTGTACAGTTTTCACTTTTCCTAATCGATGGCTAAGCTAAGACTTGATAAGCTGGTTTTTGGCTTGATTTACAGCCATTAGCGCGCGGATTTGAGTTGTGTCAGAGGTCGTTTGTTGAAAACAAAACCACAGTACGCAAAATTAATTTAAAAACTTTCAGTGATCAGCTTATAATCAACTTACAAAATTCTCATCTGATGGGCGAGCGATTGGTGTCTGCTCAGCTATCTCAGCTTTGCGATGGATTGGTGTCTGCTCGATCTCAGCTTTGCGAGCGATTGGTGTCTGCTCAGCTATCTCAGCTTTGCGAGGGATCGCTGAAAATGGGAGAAAAGTTACAACTTGTTTTCTTTGATTATCCAATTACACATTTAATTCGAATTCAATATCGATTATATTTTTATAACGAACCATTCCCATTCAACTCCGGACTCATTTCATCTTGTTGCTCGGAGAACGAGGCGGATAGTTCCATATTCTGATCGGCTAGTTGAAGTTCTAAAATTTGGATAAAGATACGATAAAGCAGTAGTACAGTAAGGCTACAGTATGCCAAAAGTACTGTAGTTTGGTCCTCATTTGTCTAGCCCAATTTGGGCCTAGACAAGGCCTAGACAAGGCCTAGACAAGGCCTAGACAAGGCCTAGACAAGGCCTAGACAAGGCCTAGACAAGGCCTAGACAAGGCCTAGACAAGGCCTAGACAAAGTCTAGATCATGTCACTTTATTATAACTACAGTAATCATTGTAAAACCCTTGCTTATTTTAATCGTCCTTTTATTTCTCATAAAGTTTGGGGGAGTGTTGTGAGGGTTAAAAGGCTGAGAGAGAGAGGGGAAGGGATGAGAGAGGTTATCGATTGGGAATGAGCCTTGAGCCCCTCAACTCCCCTCTCATTCCCCATTTCTCTTCACTTTTAACAAGCCTACAGCTAAAAATAAAATGGATAAAAAGGGCTAATGAAAGAGAAAATGATTAATTGCACAGTAGTTGCATGAGAAATAAACAAATGCTAATACTGTAGAACATTTGTTATTCGATTGGAAAACATTCCTTATTCGAAATACTAAATTATTTGTTAAAACTAGTGCCTTTAGCCATCAACAGTAAGCGTAAAAACCAGTCAAGATTGAAAAGAAAGAGTAAATGAAGCCTTGTTCAAGGTTTTCACTTGAACAATTTGATAGGATATATTTGATAATTTGAAACGTTGACCTATGATATTATAGCAAATTTTATGACCAAGTAAAGAAAAAGAATTTAGAGAAAAAGGACTCGGAAGCGACCCCTCGAATCGAACCCGCGACCTACCGATTAACAGCATGATGCTCTACTATTGAGCTATCAGCTCTTGCTTTGCGCAAGAAGAAATAGGAAAGACATGGGCGAAAGAGAGGGAAATATCTAGATCTTCATAGCCGTGGGCTTGAAAATCAGATCTCGAACAATTTGTATTTACAATCGTTTAGATAAAATTCTTCAACAAGATTCTTTCCCAACTTTAAACTCTTCCTTTGCACTTTGAGCTTAAGCTGTCTTAGCCAATCGGATAGGAGTCTTGTCTCCTATTCTGAGGGTCAAAGATTCGATCCCAGCGGCCAGAAATAATAGATTCTTTTTCTAATCATTATGGGTTTTTTCTTAACAGTATTTGGATAATAGGGGTAACTAAGGGTTTCCTTCTTTGTGTTGTAATTGATTATTCGTGTACTTTTACTTTTAAGGAAGAATATGATTAAACAAGTCTAACCAGATCTCATAAAGTTTCGATCCTTCCTACTACACTCAATTCGCAATTTTTCTTGAAACATTAATACTGTTGTAAGAGAAATGAAGAATTGAGGATCTTTTAAGCACAAAGCATTTGTCATGAACAACTCTTTAAGAGAAACACTTACAGGAAACACTTACAGGCTCTCATGATCTTTAAAACTAAACTAACTTGGCTCAATTGATTCAATGTTGATCGGTGAATGGCTTTTTCGTCTTTCTAGTGGAGTTTCATCGAGGTCTGGCTTCGTTTGTGGCATCGGCGATCCGTCAACCAAATGTTTTCCACCATCAAGTGATCGACGACATTTTGATGAAGAACATGGCTGAATTGAATTCGTAAAATCTATCTAACTATTGAAATTTGTGTGTACCTCAGCAGCTCTCAGGAAATTCTCGGTGATTACACTTTGTAGAATCGAGGTGCGTGGAGTGATGACTGAGATCTAAAATGGAAATTGAACTCTGAGAACTTTTAAATAAACTTACGGTTTTCTTTTGCTCAGCAGAAGCTGTCAATTTCTGAATTGTTGCATCAAGGGATCGAATCGATTTCTGATTTGGATTCATGTTCTCAGGTGATCGTTGATTTCCATTTATTTTTAGATTCTTCATTGAGTAAAGAGCAGGTGGTGGAGTGATCTGAAAGGATTGTAGAAAGGAGCTGAAAGGATTGTAGATCCTAATCCTGCAACTCCAGCTCTGCAACTCCAGCTCTGCAGCTCCAGCTCTGCAACTCCAGCTCTGCAACTCCAGCTCTGCAGCTCCAGCTCTGCGGCTCTAGCTCTACAGCTCCAGCTCTGCAGCTCTAGCTTTGCAACTCCAGCTCTGCAACTCCAGCTCTGCAACTCCAGCTTTGCAACTCCAGCTCTGCAACTCCAGCTCTGCAACTCCAGCTTTGCAACTCCAGCTTTGCAGCTTCAGCTTTGCAGCTCCAGTTTTACTATGTAAGCAGGCATGCTATCCTTTCAGAATTTCAGAATAGAATCCTTTCAGACATGTAAATTCCGCTTCCTTTTTAGTCCGTTTGCCGTTGGCAATCTACAATTTTGCTTGTTTCTTAGCCGGGTTTGTTTGAAAAAACGTTGAATTTACTCTCATTCGACTTGAAATCAAATTTTCTATAGAAATGCTGCTCATTTTGAGTAATGCTGATTTACAGACGTTTCCTGGATCTACAGATCCAGGTCTACAGATAAGTTTTTAGGAATAAGTTCTACAGATCTACAGATAAGTTTCTAGGAATCATTTAGGCAATAGAATAAACATTTAATCAAAAAACTAGAGATTGTTGTTGGAAAAATCGATTTATTCAAGCCAATTTATCAAAATGGCGATAAACCCCAAATGGCGACCATCTTGATGCCAAATGCAGCTTTTTTTCTACAAGCAAGATGAAGGGCATAAAGTGGCTGCCTTGGATTGTTAGAAAAGCTATACTGAAAACTGAAAACAGATTCTAATTGGGGATTACATATCCTCACAAATTTTCAGAGTTTTTGGTTCATTCATTAACGAGAAAACATCCCTGATACATCGATGTACCATGTCGAGTGAATATGCTAATTAATTAAAGTTCTCCGCCATGATCGACTGGCTAATAGTCGAGTATCTTAGTCTGGAGATCAAAGGTTCAATTCTGCCGCTAGATTGTTCGTTCTTTTTCTCCATAGATCTCAATTTCTCCTTTTTCTCCATGGGTTCTTCTTACATTAAAGGCTTAGGGATTTTGCTTGCTTGTACCACATTATGCGTGTGAATAAATGTATATTTCTAAAAGATGTGCGGTTAAAATAAGGTTAATAAGGTTAAAAATAAGTTAGACTTACGCTAAAACATAGAAAATTTCAGATAAAATCATTTTAAACTCAATTTTGAGAATCAATTCTGAAATTGCGAATCAATTCTGACATTGAGAATCAATTCTAGAGCTGAAAAAGTCGATTCAAATGATTTGAAGCTTTTTCTTTTGCAAAATAGTAAGCTCAAGTTTATTGATAAAGAAACTTTCTATAAGAAACAGTTCTTTCAAGTTATTTCAAGTTTAGATTCAAAGTTTCAAGTTTAGATTCAAAGTTTAGAGATCTACACTAAGTACTGAATCGATTCTAAGCTGACATTATTGTTTCTGAAATGATTGAGCCCAGCTTAGGATCTAGATATTGTTTGAAAAGACTTTGATCTTTCCAAACTTGATACTCTTGATTCTCTCACTCACTTGATTCTCTCGTTCTTTCGGATCACTTGATGAAATTGTGCATTGAAAGGTTTCATTGAGTGGAAGAGCTTTTTGTGATTCGTTGGAGTTCGGATGTTTTGATGCTTTGACAAGAAGTTGCGCAAGGCGAGCACTGGAAGAGTTTTGTTTGATCAAATAGCTTCTTAAGCTTCAAATGTCTTCTCAGACTAGGAGACAAGTCTGAGAAGACATCCTAGTCGATCGGACAGATCCTATCCGATCGGCTAAGACAGCTTAAGCGCAAAGTGCAAAGAATGAGGTTAAAGTCAAATAGCTTCTTAAGTTAAATAATATGCTTTATAGCTTAGCTAAGCTTAACTAAGTAAAAACTAAGTAAACTGCTAAGTAAAAAAATCACTGTATTCAATGGAAAAGTTACTGGTTAAAGCAAAAGTAGAAAAGAAAAGCAATGATAAAAGCTATTCTTAACTATTCTTAACTAGAAATGAACTCTAGAAACAAGGTAATCTTTTACTTTGTATAATGATTTGCATAAGAATATGAAATCCCTTGATTCACCTGACTTCAGTGGGTAATCTCAATCGTATCCTTTCACCTTGATCCCCAATAAAGACACAAGTGAATCCATCATCATCCTTCACCACATCTGTCACATCTTCCACATTAAATGTCTTGTTTTGATCTAAAAACCGTTTTATCTAAAACATTTTTTCTTTAAATCTAGCTTTTCAATTTTTTTAAGTTACCTGTGTCACTTACTTATTTGATCCATTTGTGATTCTTTGTGATGAATGATCGAACGTGGATATGTTCTTGTGGGAAGGGGATTGTTTCGCGGTGTCGTGACGCGAGTGAACACTGCGTTGCGGATTTTTGGTTGATGTGAGGCCTCATTCATTCCGTTTTCACCACCAATTCCACCGATTCTGCAATTTCTTGTGTAAAGTGATTGAAGATTTGGAAAAGATAGGTCTGATTTATCTAGGGCCCTCTTTTGTCAAGATAAGAATGACGAAAACAGGTAGTTTTTTTTTAAAATAACCCTTTCCGGCATACTCAAACGTTTCCCCTTTGAATAAAACGTTTTCTAAAGAACACTAAAGCTACCGTACTACCTAAAGCTTTCTAAAGAACACCAAAGCTACCGTACTAACTAAAGCTTTCTAAAGAACACCAAAGCTACCGTACTCCGACCAAAAAAGTGAGGCCTAAGTCGATTAAACTAGGGCTTACCTTACCTTACCTTACCTTCAATAGGATTACTGAACTTTTTGATTTTGAATTACTGTAGCTTACTACGCATGGAGGATCATAGTATATGTTAAACGCTGGCTTTCTGGCACACTATTTTGCAGCAACACAATGAACTTTGTGCCAGAGCACGCACGTGTGAGCAAAAAGTACAGCCAGGATTTGCTTGCTTATGAGCGAACTTTAGAAAATTTCCAGTAAATATAATTTATTTCTTGATACCTTGGCTTGAGCGGCTTGTACATGAAGAGATTGATGAGGTTATGATGGTGTAAATCAGTTTTCAATCTAAAATTTTGTGGTATAAAAACCAAAAATGAAATAGGGAATAAAAGTTGAATTTAGAATGAGAATATCTAAACATGTGCAAGTGTTCAATGGACAGACAGACAGACAGATAGACAGACAGACAGACAGACAGACAGACAGACAGACAGACAGATAGACAGAGAGATAGACAGACAGACAGACAGACAGACAGAGAGATAGAAAAAACAGACAGACAGATAGACAGACAGACAGATAGACAGACAGACAGATAGACAGACAGACAGATAGACAGACAGACAGATAGACAGACAGACAGATAGACAGACAGACAGATAGACAGACAGACAGATAACAGACAGACAGATAGACAGACAGACAGACAGACAGACAGATAAATAGATAGATAGACAGACAGATAGACAGACAGACAGACAGAAAGTACTGTAGTCTAGAAAACGTCGCAGTGTCGTGACGGCCCTACAAATACACGTACTCTCCAAAATCCGTTTTTCACAAGAGCTCGCCGTTTCTCTTCATTCTTAAAAGAACCAATTTGGAGTTAAAAAGAGATACAGCTAGTTTCGTGGAAAATAGCAATTGTTGAGCTTTTTAACTTTATTTATATGCTAAGAATTATCTCTCGTTCCTTATTTCTTATTACTCGTCTAATCAATATTATTATCTGATAAGGTGTAGGTCGACCAAGTGTGGGCGATGCTCACGTTTGGCTAAAGAAGTGATACCGTATTTCATCCAATAGAGTTTCAAATTCTATCCCAAACTACTTACAGGAGAACTACAGTATTGCAGAGATTACGTTATTTCAAGCGGAGATTATTTTGTACAACAGTTCAAAGTTTCTTTTGAGTACTACGTTTTCTAAAATGCATTGAGAAGCTGCCGCTCGATAAAGCTGCCGCTCTGCAGCTTTATCAGCCAAATATTGGCTTCATTGATAAGCCTTGTGATTGTGATTGTGATCCAAAATGATACGAAAATAGGGCCAATTGAATGAAACTGGATACGGTAATTTTCTAAGTGTCTTTTAGAAGACACTCTGAATAAACGTCTAATAGTAAGTACAATTGTATTTAGCCAAAGATTTCTCTAGTCAGTGTTCAGAGTAGTTGGAGAGTTAGACCTTTTGTCCAGAAAGCTATTATTACCTTGAAATTGAAATTTCTGTATATATAGAGGATTGGAAAGTGTTATCTAGAGTGTTTGATTGTGATTTGAAGTTGTAGACGATTAAGAACTCACTTGGATTGCTTAAAATGAGAACAATCTAGGCAAGATCTATTGCATTAACCCATTAGCCGGCCCAGTAGACATTCTATTCATTTTAGACTTATAAAAATCAAGAAATCTTTGTTTTATAAACATCTTTCCTTCAAAAAAAACGATTAATTTAAAAGGCACCCATTTCGTGCCAAAATCCTACCGTACCCTCGCTTGTCTCATTTGGCAACGCGCGTCGAGACTAATATAAAAGTGCGAACACATGGATTTTCCTTTCGAAATGCCGAATTCAAAAAGAGTCGATAAACAATGAAAAGGACCTGTTTGAGTCATCATCTAGGTTTAAAGCTTAAAAAGGCAAAAGTGCTGTGCGACAAGGAGTTAAATCGGTTGTATATGGGGGTAAAGGCTGAACAAATGCGAAACTATTCAAAAGAGAGTGCAGATTGGTCAGAGATGGGGTTGTTGGGTAGACACGCAGAGGAAAGGGGTGAAGAGACCCACCACCTCGGGCGTTCCCCCCCGCACCAACTGACAAACACAACACACCAAATTCGCGCTTTTAGACGGTTCTTGGTCTTCTTAGCAAGGATATTGTTAATCTTGTGCGTACTTTAAGGAGAACGGATCTGGCAAGCGGATAACCGTTGTAGACCAACTTGTTGTGCACAACTATTCTTTCCATTGTTAACATTTTGCCATTATGTTATCCGTGAAGTACCATTCTTACGCTTACCACATCTATTCTTGACCCCATTCTTGCTAAACCGCAATTGCCGTGCCGCGAAATGTCAACAGGAAACGACCGGTTGTTGTCTAGGCTTTTTGAAGTGCAACGTTGTGTCATCGCTTTTCAAATTTGAAAAGTTGAAAGTCTTATCATTATTATTTGTTACCGATAGGTTTATGGCTATTTCCATTTCATGCATTGACCTCGTTTGGGTAGCGGCGCTAGAGAATGCCAATGGCAATGAGCTTTGTGGGCGATCATCCCACGTTCTTTTGCATTTACTCGCTTTCTTTTGAGGGTCGTTGATTCTTTTTTTAATCGATTAAATTTATGTTCTCAATGGTTTACAGATTGCCGCCCGATCACTACTTGAATTGGGATCGGCGCATGGAGAACGGCGAGCACCGGAAGGAGATGCGAATGACGCAGGGGGACATTGTTGAGGTATGGTTTGGCTTTTGGTTTCATTTAGAATCGTTTAATAAGGTTTATGATGGTTTTTAGGCTTTAAAAAGCTCTAAATGTTTTTGTTTTCAAAGTTAGCAATGGTTTTAAGCTTTTTAGCATCACTGTCGATGCAAAACCTTTGACTTATTGCATCGAAAAGCCCGTTATAGCTTATTATAGCGTTATAGTTGTCTAATTTATATTTTTAAAATTCAATTAAGCTATTGTTTTTATTCAGGTTGAAATGAGCGACCACGAAGAAGAGATGTCGGAAGGACTCTCGGAAAAGGATGGCCTTGAAACGATGGACACCGAGCTACAGATGGAGCGTGTGAATAGCACAGCTCGTAAGTTGATTGTTAATTTACATTTAAAAATAGCTTAATGATTAGTTGGTTTAGCATTTAGCATGACTTCTAAGTGTTTAACTTTAGAACAGCTTGCAAATAAAATATTTCTTTAATCTTTAGTTGTTTGTGTTTAAGTTTCACATCAATTGTTTAACTTCCAGAGAACCCTCAATATTCGGCTGAAGAGGAAAACGACCCCGAGGACTCATATCGACCCGAAGGATTGCTAGAGCTAGAGATCGATAAATTTAGGTGAAAAATTCCTTGTTGATCTTGTGTAAAATCTTGTGTTTAGTGACTTTGCTCGTGGACCAGCTGATGTACAACAACGACTTTCGAAACCGATATTTGTGAGAGGACTTCCATGGAAAATTCTTGCCATACCACGGTTTGTTTGTATTAACGTATCAATTAATGTACAAATGTTTAGGGATCAATCACGATGCTCTGGAGGTCGCACAAACAAGGCCCTAGGATTTTTTTTACAATGCAACGGAGATTCGGAAATGGTTGCCTGGAATTGTATAGCGACGGCTACTTTGAAGGTAAAGATGAAGCAATGTAGACGTGGAGCTTGGCACCAAAAATAATTAGAGGCTTACTAAACTCTTGAAAAAAATAGCTAATTTTTTATTTTTAAGCTCTTGGAATTGTCGTTAAACTGAGCTTATAAGCTGTAAAATACTTATCTCTACATTTAGGTCGTGAATCAATGCGGAGGTGAATCCCATGTGCGCCGGATCTCGCACACTTTTTATCCAAAGGAGAACGATTGGGGCTACTCGCAGTTCATGAGCTGTGATGTATGTCATACTTTTGTTTTGAGTGCAAATATTTTCTTTAGCAACTACTGAATCCAGATAACGGGTATATTTTGAATGACACAATCAAGCTCGAAGTAATCGTTTCTGCCGATGCCCCTCACGGAGTCCAGTCAGTCAAAAGATTTCCTTTCTTTTTTAAATCAGCATTTTCAGATGGGATTCGAAAAAACATGCGGGTTATATTGGTTTAAAGAATCAGGGTGCAACTTGCTATATGAACTCATTACTTCAAGCGTTTTTCTTCACAAATCAACTGCGAAAAGTGAAGATTTTCAAATGTTTCAAATTCAATAAGTAAATTTTAGGCTGTTTATGAAATGCCAACCGAAGAAGATGACTCAGAATCCTCAGTAGCTCTTGCAATGCAACGAGTATTTTATGACCTCCAATATTCTGACAAACCGGTAAGAAATTTTAAACTCAACTTTAATAACACGTTGTTCAGGTTGGGACGAAGAAACTTACGAAAAGTTTTGGATGGGATTCACTCGATTCATTTCTTCAACACGACGTTCAAGAACTGTGCCGCGTGTTGCTGGATAACTTGGAAAGCAAGATGAAAGGCACAAAGGTAGCAATTCACAAAAATGCACTTACACATTTTGTTAGGTCGAGGGCACCATTCCACAACTTTTCCGTGGCAAGATGCAATCTTTCATTCGCTGCATCAACGTTGACTACGAGAGCTCGCATGTGGATGACTTTTACGATGTGCAATTGAATGTCAAAGGAAACAATGACAGTAAGTTTTTTGACAACAATGACAGTTGTTGAAACTTTTTTAAAACATCTCAATTCAGTCTTGCAATCATTCCGTGATTATGTGGACTCGGAGAGATTGGACGGTGAGAACAAGTATGATGCTGGCGCTTACGGATTGCAACCTGCAGAGAAAGGAGTCAAATTCTTGACGTAAGTTTTGCAAATATTTTAATCCAAATATTTTCTTCTGATTTTAGCTTTCCACCAATTCTACATCTTCAGCTCATGAGGTTTCAATACGACGCGGCCATTGATGCAAATGTGAAAATAAATGATCGGTAAAAACTTCAGCTTTTTATTGTGATCTTTTTATTTAGACTTGAATTCCCGGAACGCCTGAATCTCAACGATTTTGTGGACAACCGAAGCGAAGACAACGATTTTACCTATGTGCTCCATGCCGTTCTTGTTCACTCCGGCGATTTTCATGGCGGGCATTACGTGGTCTTCATCAACACTAAGCTCAATCAGCCTCATTCCTGTGTATGTTATGATTGAACGTTAAAATATATTTTGGTTTAACAAAATTTATCTATTGTGCTTTTAGTGGTGCAAATTTGACGACGATGTGGTCTCGCGATCATCTTTCAAAGACGCCGTCACAGCAAATTATGGAGGAGAAG